CCAGGTGTAAAACCTGAGGATATATAAGAATTAAGGAGCACAGATAAGATCGGAGACACTGGAGTGACAAGACAAATTGGCGCAAATGGGACCTGGAATATTTAGAATCCCTCCAAGTGCCTGTCGTCTGGCAACTCTCTCTGGACCTGTCAACGTGGCTCCAACGCAGTCCTCGCACTGACACTCAACCCCTCGCATTGCATCCATATGTTTTGCGATGAATGCCCTTGCACTGTTTCCACTTAAGGCCCGCATCTGCTGCCAGCCTTCCTCACGTCTTCATCAGAAAGATCGGCTACTGGAGTTTTGCCCTCAAGGGAAAGGTGAAATGTGCCAAAATGGAATTGGGACGGCCCAAAATACAGCAAAGGCTTCTGTGCATGGAACAGATCCCAGACACTTGAGCTAGCTAGCGCATTGGATTTGATAAACGGCAAAACTAAAAAATGTTTTCCCCCATCTGTTGACCAAAGCATTATCTGCAGCTGCTGCTGTTTTATGTATTTTGGTACAGGATGGAAAAAACCTGGGCCGGACGGTCTCCAAAACTCCCCAAACGCATTACGGCTTTGTGCGACTACCGTAACCACGTCCTCAACTGCCACGTCCTTTGATGTGTCATCATCCGCCACTTGCGTCTGCTTTAACTTAAAAATGCGAACCACAAAAGACATTCAAGCGAAGGTGAATGGAAGAAAAGATGGAGGAGGTCGGAAGGAAGGACGGACGAAGAGAGGGAATTTTTTTTTCCCACCCCATTTTTCTTTCTGTGGCAACTTCACACAAAAAGGAGCCTGTGGGATGAAACCAAAATCCTCTGTGAATTATTTTAAATATCCTGTGCTAAAGACTGCATACTTCCATGTGTGAGTGCATGTTTTTTTTTCTTCTCTTTTTTGACTCCATTCGGTTTTGAACTCAAATAAAATTTCAAATAGAATTCCACATCCTGGGAACTTAGCAAACTTGAACTCAACTAGTGCAGAAAGTCAACATATTGGTGGAACAAAATGAGCGGTAAGGAAAAAGGACTCTTGGTGTCTGTATTTGTGCTATGTTGGGGGGTCACCGTGTGACTTTTGATCTTCTAAAACACAGGTGTCAAACTCAAGGCCCGGGGGCCAGATCTGGCCTGCCATGTCATTTTATGTGGCCCGCGAAAGCAAATCAATCATGTCAACTTCTACAATGATTGTTAAAATCTGTACCAAAATTTCAACTTATCATATATAATAAAGAAGTGAGATATGGTCAGCATCTTCTTGTTACCAAATCCCTCATTACACTAATTGAAACAATTGTTGAGTGAACCATTATTCTTGACTTCATTATATGTTTTCATACTCATAACGGCCCTCCAAGGGAAACGGTCACTACGATGTGGCCCGCGACAAAAATGAGTGTGACACCCCTGTTCTAAAACATCAATGGAGCTCACATTAGCTTCTACAAAACGCCTTTCAAGGTTCCCTGCTCAACCCAAAATGATATAATAAAGCAAAAAATACAATGCACTTGCCAACGCTAGTCAAAACAGCGTCCTCTGATTAATTTTGCATTTGCGTAATAGAAATGAAACCTAAATAATTAATGTGAGCGTGGTGCCGTGTTTGGCAAGATCTTGACCAACTGCAAATTGGAAATGACGTCAAGGCACGAGTGGAAATTTACCTGCCACCAGAGGGCTCCACTAAATTGGGTTGGTCTTTCCGCAGTTCTTGTTTTTTTTTTTTTTACGCATTATTAGCCAATTTAAAGCACCGAACCTGGTTTGAGAACAGATCTTTCACTGCTCTTGAAATGTGTCGTATGTGTTCATTCTGCAAGACTTGGTAAATTGGTTGCTTCAAGACTGAAAGTGTGGATGTTGTTTTGAATCTAAAATGGAGCCCCCATAAGCTGGTACGCTTTAAACTTGTGTTTATTTTAGAGGGTGGGGAATACTTCATACATTCAAGTAAACAGCAGTTGATAAAGCTATGTACGCTCAAAGTAATGGTAAAAAATGTACGGTAACTGAGTTTTGCCCTTTTAGGACAGCCCCTCCCTGTTTTTTTTTTTTTTTTTTGGGGGGGGGGGGCGGTGGTCAAGCCTCCCTCTGTTGCCAGTGAATCCCAAATTTCAACCCTAAATGACTAACAGATTGCGGAGCTTCATGTTTGATCTGTCAGAACACCGCGTTCAGGTTCTTTGACGTTTTGAAGTTTCCGCAGATGAAGTGCCAAGTGGGATGGGGACATTCACCTGAGACTTGTAATTTGGACACTTTCAGCAGCATTTAATACGCACTGCTGTCCGACGAACGAAAACAAAGGAGAGCGAGGTCAAACTATGGCGCAAATGTTCTGAATTTGGACTTTTGTATGCTTTGGTTAGCCACGCTGCAGCTGCACCTAATCCCCCACAGGAAAGCCTTCATCTGGGACTGATTTTGCAGAGCGCCCGGGCTCTGATCGAAGAAAGGGGTGAGTGTTCCCTGCCTCTCCTCGATCTGTCTGATTAAAGGGGAGGGAGCCTGGCTAAATTCCATCTGATGACTGGAACCTGCACTCAGGCACGACCCCGCTAGAAAAACACACAGAAATAGACTACATGGAGAGGGTGCGCATTTGCACCAGGTGTGCTACGCAAAAAAAAAAAAAAAAAAACGCTCTTTGCCTCAGTTAACTTCGAAGTGTGGATTCAGTTCCCGCTCAGTGATGGTGTAAATGTGAGTGTGAAAAGTTGCCCGGTGAATGACTGGCGACCCATGTAGGTTGCCGTCTGCTTTTCACCCGAAATTCACTTGGATCGCCCACCAGCAACCCGCAGGATAAGCGGCAATAAAAAAATTTAAAAAAAAAAAATTTAAAAAAATAAAAAAATGGCTTGACCTGATCTCTTTGTATGCTGGTTAATAACAATGCAATGCACGGTCATGAGAAGACAAAGAAGGTGTTGCCTTGTTCTCAGAAGTGGTGCCCGACCCCGGGCTGCGGATGTTGACCCAGTTTGAGAGCCAACATTTTTTTTTCCCCCTTTAAAATCAATCACTAGATTCGACTCTTTCCAGTCCTGCAACTACAGTATAACACAGAAGATCAAATCAATAACCCGAGTGAGATTTGTACTGTTGTTTGTGTTGACGATATTTTGAGCAGTAAATCATCGCCGCCGCAACTCATCGCAAATTGTGACATGCCCCTTTGTACCTTTGAAAAGCTTCACGTTCCAAGACATCTGTTGCCGATAAACTGGTACAAATCACAACACGATAACGTTTTAAGGGCAAGTCAAGTCAAAATACTTGTTGTGCAAAGCAAAAGTTAGTTGCTATGAAGAAAACACAAAGAAGATGACGATGACGACGATGATGAAGAAGCAGCAACAGTTGTCATGGCAACTAACTTTTGCTGTGTTCTGGTAGGTCCAAAAGTGCAGTTTGCGTTCCAAAATGTGAACATATCCCTGCCGCAGTTGTTATTTTGACTCTGAGCCCCTCCAAAATAACAACATTACCCCTTCATTATTCTCTATTCCAAATGATTCCACCCACAGCCCAATTCTACTGGCTGGAGCGCACGGCCTCTTCAACTTTGTGGCAATCCCAATGAAAACAGTCCTACTGAAAACTGTGGACGGGCAAGGCTAACGTGATAGAATCCAGGCTGCTGCTCCAATTACAGCCCATGTTTACCGCAGCCCTTTTAATTAGGAACAGGCAAGCAAAAAAAAAAATAAAAAAAAAGAACACATATCTCTTTATGTGTACTTTGGACCTAAAAATGACAGGGAGGAAATACTCCGCTGTGCATGCTTGACTTCAAGCCTCCTCAGCTGCGCACGCACGCACGCACGCACGAACTGGCATAGTTTAATTTAATGGAGCGCGGCGACAAATGGAAACAAAGTCTCCTTTTGATGGCTGCATTTGTCGACACATGCGCTGAGGCAAGGATCAACACAAACAAAATTACTCAGGAGAAAAGCCGCCATGCCATGATAACACACAAACGTCCAACCGACCGCAAGGAACCCGAGGGCAAGCCGGTTGCGGCAGGGGGAACGCCTTGAATGAAGGCAGTGTATAAAAAAGGCTGTTGTAAGGACCGTCCAGTCGAGGCACACGTGGAAGAGACAGACCTTAATATTTGTTTACTCAACATGAAGAGGAATAATTGTGACTGTGCTCGACTCTATAAAAGGGGAAGCATTTCTTTGTCCAAAGCACATTTTTGGAATAACATGAAACAATTATTCCCCATCCATTTTCGTCCTTGACCTCAGAGAGGCGGGTGAGTTGAAGTTCATCCCAGCTGACTTTGGGTGTGAGACCATTTCAATCATTGCACGGAAGCGCCTACGTAATGTTTTATATTTGTGTTATGTATGTATAATTGTTCACTTCCATGTTGTCACGCCTGTGGAGCTATTTACGTGCAATCGGGGCATCTGCGCAAGCGGTTTTTTTTTTCAGGTGTGTGTAACAGTCATATTGGATACGTGTCACTCAGAACCAACTGCAACTATTTGACAGTCACGACATCAGAATTGGGCATTGTGTAAATCCAGACTTAAAAGCTGGCTCTGATGGCTCGATGAAACAGAATACTTTTCGAAACAGCTCTGCATCGCACAAATCCCCTGCAAACTGGATTCCCGGCTGCATTCCTGCTTTCCGTCGGCCCTCAGCAGCCACGTTTGGAAAAATAAACGCAGCGACTGCAGTGGCAAAAGCAGTTGAGGTGTCAAAGTGCCGACTGCGGTCGCTTCACCCCGTCATAGCGGTTATGAATAGAAGGATGCATTCAGAGGGCATCGCCGTGTGAACGTGGAGGTACGCCGCGACAACTACAGGAGGTCCACATTGCTGTCTTACAGCATAGCGAAACCTCATAGTGTGACAACAGCTTCCACGCATCCCACACACAGGGTTCGGCGAAGACATGCAAGCGCGAGGCGTCATGACAGTGACTTACAACGAGGGACCCCCGCAGGTTGCACACTTGTACGACACTTACCCGCTGGAAGTGCCAAAGGTCTGAGACCTCACAGAAGAAGTCAAGTTCCGGCTGTCCCAAAGCCTCACCTCACGGTTACGCACCTAAAAACAGAACAGAACTTATTTACGGGAGACGCAATGTGCACGTATCAAGTTTGAAGGAGCCGATTCGTTTGAAATACAAATAGAACAATCAGAGTGCAGCATAGAACCAACATGGTACACTCCAGTGGTGGGGAAACCTTTGTGCTCAAGAGTCACATTCGATTTTTAAAATGGACAGCTGGGCCAGTTATTTTTCGTTAAAATGCGCCTTTGAAATTGCTGATTTTAGATGTGTATTACATACAATCTGATTTATTCACCTTGCCTGGTGACCTGACATATGTGGATTTTTGGCCTGTTTTACTGCCACCTCTCCTCTCTCCTTCCCCACACTAATCTTGGAATATGGGCTCGGGACATCAGCCAAATAAGATAAGATCAGATAAGATAACCTTTATTTGTCCCACACTGGGGAAATTTGCAGTCTACAGCAGCAAAAGGGGGGGGGGGGCATTTGGGCTGTTCCTGTGGATGATTCAGCATCAACCAACTGGGACAGGTCCTGAGGGGAACCACTTCCCAGAGGCGTCTACCTGTGGCTCAATTTTCCATCATTTGTCTCTTTTCAAGCAATTTGTATCGGAACATTTAGGGAAGCAAACTGAGCAAAATGAGTTCCTTCTTACCCTATCAAAGCCAGTCGTCAGCAGAAAGTCATCCTTGGCCCACAGAATGCGAGAGTCTTTGTTGTTCTGAAGGCAAGCGGCACTCTGTGAGACAGACAATGCAAACAACCTCTTGATCTTGACATTTGGGAAATGTTGACAGGGACGTATTCGGGATTGTTGCTGAGCGATAGGTGAGGCGAGCAACAGCGGATGCTGCGGAAGTGCCTCTTACAGATGTTTGTCTTTGGACAGACCACAACTTGTCCCATGAAAGGAGACATTGTTTTTTTTTTTTTCGTTGGGGCCTGGTGTGCACCTTAAGATTACCAACCTGTGACGTTACGTCTGTCTATCCTAACTGTACACAGTCTTCGGTATACTGTCAAAACAGCTCATTTTGATTGGCTGTTTTCAAAAACAGATGACACGTTTTGAGATGTGTAAAAACAACAGTGACTGTTGAAATAAGGGAATGTAATAGCAGTGTCACATTGAGGAATGGTTTGCACGTATGTGGCTCAATTACGGAAAGTCATGTTGTTTGAAGACTCTCTGTGCATCGCTGTGCTTGTGTGTGTGATCTGTTGTTTGTCGGTATTAGCCTTGCAATTGGCTGGCGACCTGTCCAGGTCGTACGCGCTCTCTAGTCAGCTGGTGATAGGATGCAGCTCACTTGCAACTCGAATGAGTACAAGCAAAAAATATCAAAGGGAAGGCTGGGCGGGTGCTTCAAGGCCACCAATTTGACAAAATAGCTCTTTGTAATTGAACGTAGGCAAGAACCTTTTATTTGGAGCGACACTGTCGCAATTACGATTTCTTGAAAAGCCTCCAAGCTTCAGCTGACTTTAAACAAAAAAAAAAGGGCACTGACCAATATTGTGCTTTTTCATAATGGCTACAACTCAATGGATTTGCCAGAGCACATGAGCCTGCGCAAATTACAGGTGTCGTCATATATTAAATAGAGGGCCGCAAGCGTGGCTGGACATCAGGAGCTGATTAGCGCTCTCACAAGTACGCCGCCTGGTTTTCACAGCGCTTCTAAATGGCAGCACAAGCTGGAAAAAAAAAATGGCAAACATAAAAGGGGCTAAGGTGTGAGCTGCCAAGTTGCCCTCCTGAAAAATGAGGCACCTTTTTCGAATAACTTGGCACTGCGCCTTACACCCGGCAAGGTTCAAGTCTGTGTGAGGCTTGTAAAACTAACCCTCCATCCATTTTCTACAATGCTCCTCATTAGGGTCTGGAGCAAATGCCAGATGACTTGAGGGAAAGAAGCAGGCTACACCCTGGACTGCTCACCAGACAATTGAGGGGGAACAAAGAGACAACCGAACTCAATTTTGTGTCTTCGGAGCATGTAATGAAGCGGAATAGAAGCCACGTAAGAGTGGGGAGAACGGCACACAGAAAGGTCAGAGCGGCGATTCAAAGTCGGAATCCCAGAACATGCAAACCACAAGGCTATAAAACAAACTAATACAGAAGAGCAAATAAAAAACAAAAACAAAAAAACAGTCACTTAATTCCTGTTCCACTTTCCAGATGATGTTCCGGGAAACAAGATCACGAAATGCAATCTGAAATTGTCAGCTTCCCGAGGGGTCTGATGATTTCATACCGCGTCAATCAGATGTTTCCTTGTTCCTCGCCTGCAGCCTCACAGCGTGTTTCTTCGTTAAATGCTCATGGGTGCAACAGAAGTACTTGGGCACAAGACAATGGTTTCTCTTGTGGTCCGCCGACTGTGTTTATCGGTCGCGCTGTTGGTTTCAAAGTAGATTTATTGCACTTAACACAAGCTACCACACTTGTCGACGGCAAATCTCAGCCCTGCAGGGAAAGTCGAGGCATAAAGCAGCAACAAGACGTCATGTCTTCTGGCTTTGGGCGTGCTCCGAAAATATTAGCTAAGAGGCATTCGGCAAACAGTTTGCTGATATGTTTTTCGTGCATGCTCCTCAAAGTTAACAGAGCGCTGACAGAGTTAATGATGAGTCCGGGCTTGAATAAACACTCCAGATTAATTTTCAGCCCGCAGGCAGCCGCGTGGCTCGTGCGAGAAAGTGAAGTCACGTTCGCCTGGATGAGAGCATGTGTGCTGAGGACGATGACAAATAGTCCACATGTGTACAAGAGATCCAGGGGATACAAAGTCCCAAGACAAATTAGAAAGACTGAAACGCAGGCACATAAACACAAACGGAGGAGGATTCATTGTCACTGAGTTGATCACCGGGCCGACTGGTCCATTTCCTTCCAGGGGCAAGATGACACAGAGCTGGCGTTCGCACCAAACTAGGAATAAGTTGAGCCCAGACTATTTTAGCCTGCTTCAAGGTCTGTCCAACATTGGATTGTATTCAAAAATCAACACATGGGCATCATTTACGATTACTTCTGAAACGCTGAACAATGCTTCCAAGGCAACTGGACAACACTCATTCCAAGGAAAAAAAAAAACCCAAACAAACTACTTCTCTGATAGTGGATCAAAATGTTGAAAATACACAAAGTTCTAGTGAAGCAAACAAGTGCAGTTGTGCCATAATAGCGTCCCTCCGGTCTTGGATGGGAGCTGATTTAACGGTTATACTTGAGGCCAGCAGCTCTGAAGGGCCCCTGCTGATTTAAGTGCCGGGTCAGAGCGATGTGATGTTTCAGTCGTAGAAAGCTAGCGCTCAAGGCCAGCCAGAGGTCGCGGCATCTGGACCTGCGAGTTCATAAAGGTTGCCAAACAGCATCCATCCTCTGCAGTCATAAATCTGAAGCGAAAATGAAAACGTATCATCGAAAAAAAAGGAAAACAGAGGAAATGAAGTCAGGGAATGTCAGCGCAGGTGTCTGCAAGGAGACCGCGGAAAGCAATTACAGACAGGAACATTCGGGGAAACGATAAGGTGATGATGAGACAAAAGGAAGTTGAAGTTAATCAGCGGTCTGCCCAATCTGATCTTGATAGCTTGGTTCTGCGGCCTGCGCCAGAGTACATAAGTGATCACTCCATCCGTCTGTGTCATCCGCCCCCTTCAGTATTTCACTTTTTGGCCATCCAAAAGGCAGACCGTGTCACTTGCGGGGAATGTTGGTTCACCCACCAGGATGAATATCAGGTGTCTGCGTCCACATCTGGGAACAATCAAAGCCGTTTTGCTGTCTCTTTCCACGGAGTTGTGTGCGAGCTCGTGGGGGGTGTTTGGCAGAAAAGGAAGGATTCCTGGGTGAAGGAAGATCAAGAGCTTTTCCTTCATTCGTTGCTTTGCTTTTCCTGCTGAAGTGGAGAAGACTGTGACACGTGAGGCTCATCTTTGGCTATTGATGTGAAATCAGGCTGTCTTATACTTCTCTCTTTATTTTCCTTACTTGGCAGAGGTAATGTTTTGGTTCGTGCAATAGTAGGATGAGTTAAATTCTACTTAAATCCTTGTAAAGAAAAAAAAAAGTATGTTTTCTAAATTTGACACCAAAGACAATAGTGTTGTAAACAACCCTCCCATATTTGAAATGCCAAATACAGTGATACCTCTACTTACGAACGTCTCTTCATACAAAATTTTCAAATTACGAAACGCCTCAACAGGAAAATATTGCCTCTTGTTACGAAAAAAATTTCAAGATACGAAAGGTAAAAAGACAGTATGGCCTGTTAGTCGCAGAGTTTCCTGAACGCAACATACTTATAGCTGCTCTGCCGTTGGCTATTACCGAGCATCTTCCTGGCATCCCATTGGCTAAGAGGGACCTCTACCGTACGTGTCTGTGTGTGTGTAGATAGATAAATAGACAAATATCTGTCTATGCAGCGTCCTCGTCATTCGCCCCTCGGGCCATGAGGTGTTCCGACAGTTTTACGTAAATGTGAACCACCCAGAAAAAGGGTTCACCAGTCGGGCGATCGCTCACTATGCTGTGAGCCTTGGACATTCTCGAAGGATTGTTAAAAGCCGACAAAAGCAAAGGTCCTAGAATCAGTTCTTTACAAAATGCCAGGCAAAAACCACTTCTGAGTGAGAACATGAACTCAAGAGGGCAAAAAACAATGAGGACACAGTTAAAAGTTAAATGACCTTCATTTTTCTTCTTTATTCTTTGTTTTGTACATTATCCACAACTCTCATTTACTGTGCAATAATCTGATTGTAACAGATATTTGTTACATATTTTGATGTATTTCTATGCTTTTATAAAACATTTATGTCTGATTTTGGGGGTGCTTGGAATGGATTAGGGCATTTACATGGAAAACGCGTCTCTACTTCCTAGTTAAGAAATTTCTTCCAGAACCAATTAATGTCGTAAGTACAGATGCCACCATATATAAAATGAAGCTTCAGAATGATGAAAACTCAAACCGGCGTCCCAATCAGACGCTGTGGGCGTGCCGCTGAATGTGATGAAACCACGCCCTGCTCAAGTGTCAACTGTCAATCAAATACCATTACTTCGACCTGGAAAAATGATTGTTACTCTATCTGGAGTCTTTCTTATACCTCCCCATAATTCATATTTGAGCTGCAAAAATATCTTCACATTAAGCCCCCGGTGGCTGCAATACATCCCACTGGGTCATCAGAGTTTTGCCAAAGCTCGACAATGAGGCACTCTAAAGCAGGGGTCCCCACCCGAATCACCAGTCAATACACCGACAATCAAGTCAGATTTGTCTTTTTTAAAATGTTCTCGCCTTC